GAGGAACACCTCTTGGTGCAGGTGGAATACCTTCCAAAGAGAATGAACCTAACAAAGTGTTATCTTTGACCATAGCTCTGTTTCCTTCATAAATGTTAATTTGTACACTTGTTTGATTGTCAGAGTAAGTGGTAAAGATTTGTTTCTTTTGAGTGGGAATGGTAGAATTTCCTTTGATGATTGGTGTAAAAATACCACCTGCTGTTTCTACACCTATGTCCATAGGAGTAGTATCCATTAACAAAAGTGATTCACTCTTATTAGTTACATCAGAAGAAAGAATGAGTGCTGCTTGATAAGCTGCTCCTATTGCCACTGCCTCATCAGGGTTTACTGGCATAAACACTTTTTCTTGTCCAAACATTTGATTAAGTTTGTCAATCACACAAGGAATTCTGCTAGAACCTCCAACTAAAAGAACTCTGTCAATGTCTTTTTTACTTTTCTCAATTAAATTTTTATCTTCATTTAATAAACAACCACTGTTGTCATAATTTGGTTTTCCTCCTTTGATTGTCATTAAACATCCTTTAATTCTTTCCATGGCTCTATTAAAGTATTTTTCACAAAGTTGTACAAATTTAGGACGTGTTAATTCTAAGCATAAATCATGTTCTGAGAAGAAATAATCAACGTTAATGGTTGTACTTTGTGCAGTAGAAAGAATTCTCTTTGCTTTTTCTGCTTCAATTCTAAGTCTTCTTTTACTTTTATCACTGATTTGTGCTTTGTCTACTTTATGTTTAAGACAGAAATGATCAACACAATAAGTGTAAATTTCATGGTCAAAGTCTCTTCCTCCTAACAAAGTGTCTCCGTCAGTGGCAAGTGTTTCAGCCAAGGCTCCTTCTTCAGTAGAAGATTCGAATTTTAAGCATGAAACGTCAAAAGTACCACCACCTAAGTCAAACACTAACACAGTCTCTGAATTTTGTCTTGCATTAACATCTTTTCCTCTGTAAAATCCATAAGCCAAGGCTGCTGCTGTTGGTTCATTTAACAATCTTACTTCTGTAAATCCTGCAATGATGGCTGCTGATTTTGTGGAAGATCTTTGTGAATCTTTGAAATGTGCTGGGACTGTCACAACTGCTTTAGTAATTTTTTTATTTAATTTTAATTCTGCTGCTTCTTTTAAGTAAATAAGAATGTAAGCTGAGAGTCCTACTGGTTCATGATACCTGTCTTTTACTTTGTACCTGATATTATCAAATATGTCTTTGTCTGCTATGGAAGATTCACACTTATTTTTTAAGTCAAACCTTACCAATTTAAATGACCAAGTATTCATAAACTTAGCTAATTCTGGGTCATCAAATGATCTACCAATCAATCTTTTAGCATCGTAAAGCACTGCTGTAGGATCACTGGTCTTTTTAAACAAAGCTGCATCCCCAACCAATTTATTGTTATTATCATCAAAAGCTACCACTGAAGGAGTAGTACTCTTTCCTTCTAAGTTGGGGATAACTTCTATGTTACCATTTGAGTACACTGCACAACATGAGTATGTTGTTCCTAAGTCAATTCCAATTGCATCTGAAGTCTTTCCTGACATGGATTCATGCACAAATCTTTTTTTATACTTTAAATTTTCTAGAAATTTCTAGAAAAAAAAATAAAATTTTTTAAATAAATTTAATTGATAAAAAATTAAAATATTAAATTTACTTATCACTTGTATCTGAAATAAATATAAAAAATATAAATAAATAAATTTAATATAAATAAATAATGTAAATAAATAAACGTAAATAAATAAATGTAAATAAATAAAAATAAATTAGTGTAAATAAATAAGTTGATTATAAAAAATAAAAAATAAATAAATAAATAAATAAATAAAAAATAAATAAAAAATAAATAAATAAATAAATAAATAAAAAAAGTAAAGAAAAAATAAATAAAAAATAAATAAAAAATAATAAAAAATAAATAAAAAATAAATAAAAAATAAATAAAAAATAAATAAAAAATAAATAAAAAAAAATAAATAAATAAATAAATATAAATAAATAAATAAATAAATAAAAAATAAATAAATAAAACTAAAAAATAAAAAATAAATAAAAAATAAAAAATAAATAAATAAATGTAAATAAATAAAAATAAATTAGTGTAAATAAATAAGTTGATTATAAAAAATAAAAAATAAATAAATAAAAAATAAATAAAAAATAAAAAATAATAAAAAATAATAAATAATAAAAAAAATAAAAAATAAATAAAAAATAAAAAATAATAAATAAATAAATAAAAAATAAAAAATAAATAAATAAATAAATAAATAAAAAAAAGTAAAGAAAAAATAAATAAAAAATAAAAAATAAATAAAAAATAAATAAATAAATATAAATAAAAAATAAATAAATAAATAAATATAAATAAATAAATAAATAAAAAATAAATAAAAAATAAATAAAAAATAAATAAATAAATAAATAAATATAAATAAATAAATTAAATATAAAAAGTAATATTTTATTTATTTTATTTATAATCCATGATAATTGCAAATTTAGTCATAAAAGAAAATAAACTTATAAAAGAAGAATACTTTCTTTCTTCATTCTCCATTTTTACCAGAAAATCAATAAAAGAATTCATCAGACTAATCTCTTTAGAGCTAAACAAAGATTGTACACCTAAACTAACTGAATACACACACACTTTTGACAGTACTAATTATTACTTTTACACAAAGAAAAGTAACGATCTTACAGTGATTCTTACCATAAAAAATGAAGATACTTCTTTATCAGAGATTATCAACAAAATAAACTTAGAGCTAAAAAATTTTGATGACAAAAATTTGGAATTGGATGAAGTTAACAAAGAATTAGAAGAAACTAAAACTATTTTAAAAATGACATTGGAAAGTGTTTTACAGCGAGGAGAGAAATTGGATAAATTAGTTGAACAGAGTGAAGAGCTTAGTATTCAGTCTAAAGCTTTGTTTAAGGCTGCTAAAAAACAAAATAGATGCTGCAAATTTTAATAAAATTTATTTTTTTTAATTTTAATCACTGCTTCCGCCGTACATTTTTTCTTCTCATCTCGTCTGCCTTGTAAAACATTGATTTTACGTCAACTTCGTTGTTGTTTTGTAAAATTTCCATGCACGTGGAGAATTCATTTTTAAAATTTTATTTTTTTAAAAGGATTATCTTGGCAGCTGCGCAATAAAGAACTAATTCAAACCTGGTTGAATCTGCTAAAAATCTATCCCAAAGCCAAACCACTTCATCTATTGGATATTCTTGTGCAAATGAAAGTAAGATCCATCTAAAATGAAATAAATTTTCTGTTAACTTTTTACTTTTCATGTTATTGTACAAAGCAGGGTCAAATTCTTTTACTATGTCAATTACTCTGGTAAGTTTCTGAGATATTCCTACGTATTTGTCATCCATTCTTTCTAAAAAATAATCACCAATCTCAGAAATCAAATTTAAAAAACAAAAAAATGTGTCTGATTCTACGTGTGCGTACTCATCAGAATTGGCAAATACGTAATAAATAAGTGTAACAAGTACGTTCATTCCTTGTACGTAATCCACTCCAGGGTTAGTTGTTTTGAAAACTAGCAAAATTTCTTTTATTATTTCTCTATGAGTCAAACATTTGTCATCATTTACAAATTTACTATCTAAAAAAGAACAAAAGGTTCTGTCTGCATTAGGAAATAAAAATGTTCTGTTTACATCTTCATGAATAATATCATCAATATACACATTTACTTCTTTGTTTTTTATTGATTGTAGCTTAAACTCTTTGTAAGATTTTCTTCTTTCCTTGTAAAAAAGTTCATTTTTAAACTTATTGTCAGAATAATAAAACAAAAAAATTTTCCAAATTTTTGGGCGTAGAAATTTGTCATCAAAGCCATAATAAGCATAATTTTGTAATTCAAATTTGTTTAGTGGTGTAGGATCGTTAGGATCTACTTGTCTTGAGATTAATCTATGCAGTTTTGTGTATGAATTGGTTAGTTTATGATTTATAATGTAAAATGATTTTTTAAGATCGTCTGAATAACCCATTTAAAAAAATGAAAAATTAACTTTTTTCTTTTTAAGACACCAATTATTTTATTTTGTTTTAAATTTTGTTGGTCAATGAAAAAATTTCTTTGACTTAAAATGTTTCATTGTTTTTTGTTTTAATAAAAACAGAAATATTTTTTTTCTGATTTTTTTATTACAGAAAAAAACTATGAAAATTTTTAAGAAAATAATTGAAAAAAAAGTAAATGTCAAAAAAATGATTTTCCCCTTAAAAAAATTTAATCACTAAAATCAATTCGAAGATTTATTTTTGATAAAAGTCTTTTTTTATTTTCCCTTTAAATCAAGGGGTATCATTGTACTTAAAAGTTAAATAGAAAGGAGAATTTAATAAGATTATTCTGCCCATGTATCTATTCTTAACAAAAAGGTTCTACTTATACTGGGGAACAAAATACCACCACAGGACCATTCAAAATAGACATGAAAATAGAATTTATAGACGTAAAGCAGCTATTTATGTGTGGTACATTTAAAATCTTAAATCTAACCTCTTATCATGATGTAATTAATACGTATTACGAATGCGAAATAATCAAAGAATTCGATAAAAAAGATGAATTAGAGCATTGGAAAACATTTGATGCTTATAGAAACATAAACGGAGTTTATAATATTGATGAGAAGTAATTTTTTATTTATGAAAATAAGAGAGTTATTTTTATTACCTGATCCAAGTATAAAAAATATTCCTGGTGCTTCTATTGATGGGTATTATTATTGTGTTTACAATAAAACAGAGGATTCGTTTAAAGGTTTTTATTATTATGAAACAATGAGAAATCAACCTCCGCAAAAAATTACATTGAATAGAAATTTTTCTTTTTTTCTGAGAAAGGGATTTCAGCTAATTATTTAGATACTTAATAAATTTAGGTGATACAATATTTTTAACAAATATCTCAATATATATGAATGGTTAAATTTTTTTAAGGTCGCTTAGTCTAGTGGCTATGATTTCCGGTTTGGGTCCGGAAGGTCCAGGGTTCGAATCCCTGAGCGACCCTTTTTGTTATTTTGTTTTACATTTTTAATTTAATTGGTTATTTTAAATAAAAAACAAAATCATTTATTTATTTTATGCACGTTAAGTTTATAAGCAACGAAAAATTTGAAATAAAAACTGTTCCAAGGATCACAGATCCACTTAGAACCATAGTCCTTCCAAACGGAGACAAAGTGGCTGAAATAAGATGGTTGACCACTTCCTTAAAATTTCTCAGGTACAAATTAATTTTAGTGAGTGATAAAAAGATTTATTTGAAATATGTTACATTCTCAATAAACCAATTATCTGTGTGCATAAATTATCACAAAAATTTGTTTGTAAAATTCTGTGAATATGAATTGACACTTTGTGGTTTAGAAAATTTAGGAAGTACTTGTTATTTTAATACTTTTATGCAAATGTTACACACAAATTTAATAAATTTAAAAAATAATCTTAGTTTATGCAAAAACAAAGGACCTGAATTCTTACCAGAAAACAACAACACCTTCACTTTTCTTATAAATTATCTTTTTTAAAGGAATGAAAAATAACACTCTTTACAAACCAGAGCCATATGAACTAATACCATGGAATAGAAATGAACCAAAAGATTTTTCACATTATCTCAGGTTTGTTTTTAGTAAAATATACAAGGATATTCCTGAATATTTTAGCAAATTAGAATATAATGTTATTTATGAATGTAATTGTAAAGATTATTTTTTTAAAAATATTTTTTGAAATAGAAGTAAAAATTAAACAAACCAACAGTCATTTTAATTCTGTAAAAGGAGGAAATGTTTCTTTAATTTGTTATCCTGAAAAAATAACAAGTAGTAATTTTATTAATGAATTTACTACAAATAGTCAGAATGACCCTGAAAATTATTCAATTTACAAATCTTTAGAAAATTATTTTAAAATAAAAAAACAATGTAAAGTGCATGAAAAAGAAGTAAAAAAGTATGATTTTAACTTAAAAAATAAAGGAATTTTACTTATAAAAATTAAAAGAGAAGAGAAAAAGAAAAAAATAACAGATTATTTCTCTTATCCTAACGAATTAACACTTAAAAATACCAAGTATACACTTATAGGAGTGGTATTTCACGAAGGGAATGTTGATAATGGTCATTATTTTTACGTAGGAAAGGTCAATGAGTCATTTTATAAATTTAATGATGAAATGGTTAGCAAATGTAATTTAGAAGATGTATTTGTTTACAAAAATGATGATTTAGTAAGTTATTATTTAATTTACTTAAAAAATGAAGAAATTAAATGCACTTCTGACATTGAAGAGAATATTTTTAACAATAAAATAAAAGATTATGATTTTAGCATAGAAGAATGTCCTTCTTTTGTCAAAGAAGAAAAAAATTTAGAAGAAAATGAAGAAATTTTTATGACTGAAGGGCAAATGGAAATTAACTTGGAAAATAAAGAATCAAAAGAATCAATTGATTTAGAACACAGAGAAGAATCTTCACCAGAATCAGAATCACACACCCTCTTCACAGACCTTAACACTAATTTTTATAAATTTACCAGAGAAGACATTCCAAAGTATTTAGCACCACACTTTTTTTGCCATGATTATCCCAGTGTTAATTTAAGAAAGTTTTATAATTTAGATAAAAATGACAAATACGTTTACAGGTTTAAAATAAATGAAACATCAACTGAGTTTATTAAAGATTTAAGGTATGAGAATGAATGTATAATTTATGAAATAATAAGTGAATCACCTTATTTATTAGAAAATGAAAGAAAATTATTAAATAATAATAAAATAAATAGAAGAAAAAAAAATAATTCAATTATTAAATTAGAAACAATCAGCCAATCAAGTGATACTTCAACCCATCAAACAAATAGCACTGAAACAGTTAATACACTTAGCACAGCCAAAGATTATACCTGGCAAAGTAATTCATCCTATAAAAAATTATATTTTTTATTAAAAATGTCTAAAGAAGGGTGTTCCTTTTTATTTCCTAGAAAATTACAATTTTTAAATCACACTTTATTAAGCCATGATGATTTAAAAAGAATGAATTATTATAAATTAATACATAATGGATTAATAGAAGTAAAAAATACTTTGAGTGATAAAATTAATTTAATATTTGACAGGTATTTTATTATAATCATTGAAGAAAAGAATGATTATTTAGAATTAAGAAATAAATTTAGAAATAATAAATGTATCAAAATAGAAGATAATATGATATTTGTAGGAAGAGAAACAAAAGTGAATGAAGTTAGAAAAATAATACAAAGAGTATTTTTATCATCATCCATAGAAATTGACTGGGATGGTAGTTTAATAAAAAAGAAGTAAAAAAGGAAGTAAAAAAAGAGTCAAATATTGTGAGTGCAGAATTAAGCAGCTACGTAAAGAAATTTACTTACGAAGATGATTCATACATGAATTTTTTAACATGTAAAAGTAAAGAAAATATTTTTGTAGAAATTAAGGATAGAAGCATTGAAGGAATAAACAAACTAAAAATAATAAAAAAAGACACTCATTGCACAGTAAAAGTAAGTTTTATAGAAGAAAAGAGTGATGTATTAGATTGTAATAAATTAGAACACATTCATTATGTTTACATAAATAAGTCAATCACAGTAAGAAGACTGATTCATAAAATAAACGTACTTTTATGTGTAAAGAATGAATTTACTGGTTGTGTTAAGGCAGTATTTAACACAGATAAAATAGAATTATTAAACTTAGATGATAATATTAACCCAGAAGAAGGAACAATGCTTGTTTTACACAATTTAGAAAAGGATGTAACTTTTTTGCCATGTGTTTACTTAAATGATAATAAATTTAAAGGATATCCTTTTTTCTTAAATGTAAGAGGATTGGTTAACATTGGTGAATTAAGAATGAAGTATTCTATCAGTAATGTTATTGTTTGGAAGAATAGTATGATTGTGGCAGAAGAGGAAGATTTTTTCAGAGGAATGATTGGTTTAATAGAAGAATAAAAATAAATTAAAAATTACATTTATTTTAAATATTTAATAAATTTATATTTTAAAAAAAAGTAAATTGAATATTTTTTTCTTAAATAATTATTAAATTTACTTTTATTATTTTAAGTGATAAAATTGTATTAAATATTAAAATAAACTTAATAAATTATTTAAAAATAAAAAAAATCTTTATGTATTACAAAAAACCAACTTATTACTAGGATATCTTATTAATTAATTAAAAATCTAAAAAATATAAAATTCAATTTTAAAAAAATTATTAAAATATGTTTTTGATTTAAAGTAAAAATTTAAAAAAGCAGAATGAATATGTATTTATGTGTAAAAAAACAGGTTATTGGTAAATTTAATTTATAAATGTTAAGTAAATTTTTTATTCTGTAAATATCAGAAACATTTTTATATTACTGCTACCTTTTTAATCCTCCATTTTTTAGATCTTTCATGGTGTTAATACTTCTTAGCATGCATACCATTCGATTGTAAACATCCAAATCAACTCTGGGCTATGCCTTTCAGTTAATAATACTTTGATTTTTGAATAATAGTATGTTTTCTGATCTTTCTATCCAAACGCATTTGTCTTTACGCTACTATTTTCATTTATTTCTCTCCTTATTTATTCATCCTAAGAGTATAAAACATGTAAAAAATACTTTTTTTCTGGATTTCTTGGGTAATTTATTTGGGATTTTAATTTATATTAAAAAAAATTTATTAGATTTTATAGTTATTTATAAGATTTTAATTATTTTTTTTGATTATTTATAATTTTTTTGGATTTTTTAAGTATTTCTTTGGAAAAAATATATTAATCAATCTATCAATTTTTATTCATTTCAATTAAATCTTTGATGTATTTTTGTTTTTTAGATTCTCTTGGCAATAAAGTAGTGTAACAAAAATCAAAAGGAGCAAAAAAATTTATATACCGCACAACTATAAATGTATAAATAATCCATATTAGAATTCTTAGCGACATAAGCAACAAACCTAAGTGTACTCAATTTCTCAGAACAAAGCACAATTTTATTTCTTGTGATCAAATTAATAGGAATAAATATCTCTTTATTACCACAAATAAAAGTAGACAGAAAAAGATGACCCATAGGCAATACTATTGACATCAATGTAAAAATTTTGTCATGTTGTTTATAATATTTAGATATTTTATCAATATCAGAAAAAATACCTGAATTATACGTTCTAACGTCATCAAACATAAAAACATTTTACAAATATTATTCAAAATTTTAAAAATATTTCCTTTGTGTTTAACAAAGTATCTTTTGAAAGAAGCTCTGTTAAAAGAAAATAAATAAGTTTCTCAGAATCAAAATAAAATTCTTCAATCTTTTTAAGTTTTTTGTAATATTCTTTTTTGTTGGTGATTTTGAGTTTTGGTTTGTAATTTTTGATGTTTTCGTAGGTGTCTAGGAATATTAATTTGAGTTTGTCGTATTTTTTTTGGTTGTTTGGTTTGATAGCTCGTATCCTTCGGCAAATTTAAACGTTGATGCTTTTAATCGTGTGAACCCGAAACACATGCGTGGATTGTTATTTTAATAATAAATTTGATTTAAAACAAGTTCGTTTGGAAATTTAAAAATTGTTAAAAAATTTGATTTGGTGTTAAAAAAATTTTCCAAATTAAAAAAATTAGAAAAAATATAAATTTTTAAAATTTTTGAGAAAAAAATAGAACTTTATTATTTTTTATTTTAGAAATTATAATTTGTTATTTTGTTTTTGAAATTTTATCTAAATTTCTGTAAATGGAAATATTTAGTAAAATATAAATTAATGTTTCATCTTTAGTTTATAAAAATAGTATTTGTTTATAAACATGTATTTGTTCATTGTATTCATGTTGAGAATAAATCCATTTACTAGAACGAACCCACAAAAAAACTTAAGCGTGTTCAAAGTTACTGATAGGTCTGTTTTTAGTTCTAATAGCTCAGATTTTATGTATAGTGATAGAGAAATAAGTGAAGAAGAAG